TTCAGATTCTTCAAGCTCCAACAACTGTGTCTCAGATGCCACTGATGAACACCTGAGCGCTCTCCTGCGGCTTCTAACAACCGCGTTCCTGAGCATTTGGGGCTTGTGCACGCAGCAGTGACCTCAGCTGTCTCCAGGCAGCATCTCCATACCGAATACCTGAGCCCATTCTTTCTGGGTCCAGCTCGCCTGATCCAATTTTGTTAAGTATTTTTCTTGCACACTGTACAGAAGCCTCTTCCACATTCTCCCCTGTTAGTGCACTTGTCTCCGAACACATCAGCTCATTTTCTTGAGCAAATCTGGAGGCTTCTGAGTACGTAACTTCGCGATCTGCATCCGGGTCCTTCTTGTTTCCACAGAGGTTGACCACAGTGTTCTGACTCGCTAGCATTCTGGCCTGTTAACCAATTAGGAAGCGCGTTGGAGGTTTCTAGGCTGGTGATGCTGCAGACAAGGAGAGCTCCGGCTGCGCCTCTGCAATGACAGACCTGAATCGTGCTTGTCCCGCTGTGTCCCGTATTTGTAACTTTACATATTTACCACCACCATTTATTATCTTTGAACCAAACTACACTCCTATTGTATGATTTGAGTCATCTTTGAATTTGTTTTCAATAAACTGATGAAGTAAGCAAGATTTGCCAGTTCCTGCATTTCCAATAACCAAGAACGTAAACAAAAAATCGTAGGTTTCGGACATGGCCGTCCGCGGCACCTTGGGAGCGGCCGCCTCTCGCCGCAGCGGCTGCAGCTCCGCGGGTCGGGAGCCTCGTCTGGGTCGGGAACGGCGTGGGGCGGGGCGGGACCGGAGGGGGGCGGGACCCAGCCGGTCCCCACGGCAACCGCCGGCCTCCCGCGGCTGTGGCCCCGCCCAATATCCCTCTCCAGTTGAGTGACTTTTCCATCCTCATGAAAGATGTTTTCATCCTCACATTGATTTAGCTTTTCTGACATTTTTAAGAGGCCCTTCAGTCTGCAGGAATGTACAGAATGAGAAAGTCAAGTTTTTTAAGAGTAAATAATAATTGTTTAAACAGATATCACGTTCTAGCATAGAAAAGAAACACATCCATAAATTATAATCCTCTCTCATTTATTTCAGTCTAACATTGTTTGAAAACATTCTAACAAAATTATAATATAATCTGAGGTAAATAATAGGTAGAAAAAGTTCACGACATATGTGGCAGAAAAAGAGTTAATATTGTAACCACACCCAGAGTTCTTACAAATAAATACTTAATATCCATTTTAGTATAGTACCTTACTATAAACATTAGCCTATTAGTAAATATTAGCTATAATCCAGAGATCAATATCGCAGGTGAAGAAGCAAAGCTGACTTAGGTATGAATTTTTGAAAAAGACACAAAAAATACATTTTAATAGCCGTTGACCATAGTTGATAAGAAGAGAAAGGACACACAAAAACATCGAGGAGATCATTCAAAGTAGAAAAACAGGAAAGCAAACATCTTTGAAGTGTGAGTTGAGGGAGAAAAGGAAACACCGTTAGAAGAGAGGAAATGAGCAGAGAGAGAATGTGTGAAGACTTAAAAGCTGTTTTAAGAAGAGATCTAGAGATCTTTGCTAGCACAGTGTTAAAAAAAGGAAAGGGATGCAAAACCGTGTAGGGAAAGGCAATGAGAGAAAAAATATTGATTAGAATCAAACTTCAGTGTTCAGCAAATAAAGAGAAAAGTAGCCATGGCAGGGGCTTCAAAGATGGTGGGAAAGTCCATTTTCAGATCTGGGTGGGACAAACACAATTGTTCATTTGCTCCTCTTAACTCAAACATGTATTTTTGTATATATGAGAAACACACACACACACACACACACACACACACATACACACACACTTTTTAAGCAAATGTAATAACATGTATCCCTCATGTATACATGAAAGATATCCGTGGAAAATGAGTTAAATTTCCACGATATATTTTACAACAGAAAAAAAGAAAGGCAGAAAGAAAAGATGTATTAATCAAAATAATTTTGATGTTGTTAAAGAATGACACAGATAGGTTTTAGATATCAAAGGATTGGAATTCAGAAGGGAAGATTGCCAAAGACAGGAAAAATACCTTTGGAAATAAAAATTCAAAGGAGATGATGAAGATTGCAGTTGACAGTATATGCCAGAGGCATTGTTAGTATGGTTTACAAAATCATTAAATAATATTTTGACATTTTCAAAAAGTTTCAGATTGCGTTGTGAGTTTCTGAAATAAAATTTAAAATAGAATAATTTAATTACAGAAATGCAGATATGAAATGAATTTATATTTAAGTTTTAATAAAGAAAAGTAAAATTTTAGTGAAATCAACATATGAATGGTTGAAATGATCTGAAATAGTAAAAAACCTTACTGAGTTCTCTCTTTTTCTAATTTATCATTTCTCTTCTTTTCTTGCACCAAACTATACTCCAGAGACTGCTTTGACTCAGTAAGTTTCTTTACGTCTTCCTTTCCATTCTCAGACTTTGAAAAAAAAAATTAAAGAAAATTATTTTTAAAAATCCAGAGACATTCTTCTTTCTTAAAAATATTATTTCCCATGAGTTCATGAGTAGTATGTACTTAGACTGGTTTATAAAATATAATTTATAAACCTGATGCCAATAAGGGCAGACTACAAAAATAATGATTTTCTTTAAAAAGCTCAAGTTGATTTCTACTTTCACCATTTATCTTTTCTGGAATTTAAATTGTCAAAACTTATTTGTTAAAAATAGAGGTTTTTACACAGAAAATACTAAGTATTTTTATTTTGAAAATATTTTTAAAAGAGTCATTACTTTTACATTTTAGTTTCTGAAGATGCCCAGGTAACCTTGCCATGAAAAGTTTAAGACATTCCAGATTTTGTTAAATTACATCTTACTGAGACAATTTTTGGAGAACTCCCATCTGGTTCCGATTATATTTTTGATCCTCGCCTGACTTCAAGATGAGCTAAATACTCTCACTCTCTATAAGCATTCTTCCATGGGTCTCAATTTTTCCTTTCTATGGACCACTGTTCTTTAAATACAATTTAAGTCTCCTCAACACGAAACAAAAGCATAATTTTTGCTTGATTCTTCTGGCTTTTCCATCACCCTGCTTCTCCCCTCCCACTGGACTCTAATATTCTTTCATACCTGGTCTCATCCAGAGAGCTACTTTTTCATCACTTGATTGTCTTTGTTCAACCTCAAATCTAATCTTCAATCCTACGATTCCAATAATAAAATTCTGGGGATCACCAAGGCCCTATTCTTTAGTCTTCATCCTGCTTTACTTCTCAGCAGCAATTGCTAGCAGTGACCACACCCTCCCCTCTGCTCCTCTGACCCCTGCTTCATTTCTCAATGCAGCACTCCGATATTCAGCCCTGTCCCTGGCTGTTCCTCTGCTGCCATTTGCTCAGAGCTTGCTCCTGAAAGCTCAAGGCTTCATCCCAGATTCCCTGATGTTTTTTTTTTTTTCTTTTATAATGCAAAACGTTTTCACAAGGGTCAGATGATCCACTGTTTGACTCTGTTTTCTTTTGAATAATTTCCTTTTCCATACACACATGCCCTTAGGGAAGTCCCGTTCTAAAGTTTCTTTCAGTTGCATACCCAACTATCATTTGGGGGCTTGATTCAGCTGGAGTTCTCTCTTTGTCTCAGTCCAGATTCTGACCTCGAAAGTGTTCATCAAGTATCTTAACCCAGGTATTCTCTGGTTTAGGAATTCAGGAGATTAGAACCTTCTGGAGAAGTTAGGGGCTATTCATTGTGTTGATTCAAAGATGTCTCTCATTAAATATTTGATTCACAGGGTAGGCTTCAAAGTGGCTAATAATGCTATGCCATATGCCCAACTCATTTCAATGGGAATCTA